TTCGTGTTTGTGGCCGTGCGAGCTCTTCATGGTGGGTGTCAGTCTGCTTCATGTATGGATTGGAGGGGTTTAAAGTGGCTAATGATGCAGCTGCGGTCTGGCTTCTGGTCCTTGGTCGTGGCTCATTATCAGTGTGGGTTTGAGTCTGCTTTCTGCGTGGATGTGTGGTGGTGACATCCTGTGTGGCTCTCGTGAGTGTGGGTCTGGTGTCATTCGTCGTGTTAGGGACTCGTTTGTCAATAAGGGCGGGTTTCCAAATGGCTGGTAGGCGGGAGGTATCGTCTCGTTTGTTCATGCTGTGTGGGCGTTTTTCTATCTCGATGGCTTCTCTGATTATTCTGTTGTTAAAGTGTTCAGTTTTGGCGATAGTTCTGGTCTTTTTAAAGTCAATATCATGTCCTGTGGCTTTAAGGTGTTGGACCAGGGAAGAAGTTGGTTCCTCTTTTCTGACTGAGTTCTTGTGTTCTTCTATGCGTGCACTTATTCGTCTGTTGGTTTGTCCGATGTATGTGGTGGGGCAGGCGGTGCATGGGATTTCATATACTCCTTGATTTTCTAACTCAATTTTGTCTTTGGGGTTCCTTAGGATGGTGGATATTTTTCGGTTTGTGCAGAATGCTGTCTTGATGTTATGTTTGTGGAGGATTTTGCTTATTCTGTCTGTGGTGCCTTTTATGTATGGGAGGAGGGCTTTGCCGTTTTCTTGTTCTCTGTCTTGGATTTTAGTGGGGGTTTCTTTTTGGATTAGGTTGGTGATCTTATTTCTTTGGAGTCCATTGGATGTTAGTACATTGGTGAGAGTGTGTAGTTCGGTTTTTAGGTGTTGTTCGTCAGCTAAGCGTTTTGTTCTGGAAATGAGTGTCTTGGCTACAGAGTTGATCTGGGCAGGGTGGTGGTGTGAGAGTGCGTGCAGATAGCGGTTTGTGTGTGTTTTCTTCTGGTAGATAGTGTGTCCTAGGGAGCCATTGGATTTTCTGTAGACTAAGACATCCAGGAAGGGAAGTTGGTTGTTCGCTTCTGTTTCCATGGTGAACTGTATTTTGGGGTGTAGGCTGTTGAGGTGTGTGAGGAAGTTGTCCAGTTTTTCTTTCCCATGTGGCCAGATTATGAAGGTGTCGTCCACATATCTGAGCCAGAGTTTGGGTTTGTGATCAGATTTATATATATATAATTTATATTTTGCTGATAAAGAAATAAAAGAAGACTAGTATAGATCTATTTCAAGCTTTTTAGCTTTCATCAGCTAGCCATACCCTTACTTGGATTCGAACTTGGGCTTCCTGCATGTTAGGCAGTTGAATTAACCTTCTGAGCCACACATGCAGGAAGCCCAAGTTTGAATCCAAGTAAGGGTATGGCTAGCTGATGAAAGCTAAAAAGCTATCCAGAAGCCCTCAGGCAGTTGCTTTCATGACAAACTATTTTGTATTAAATTTATATTTGTTGACAAAATTTACTTTCCCTTTATTTCTTTGTCAGTAAATATAAATTAAATAGTAAATATTTAATTATATATGTATGTGTATGACAGTAAATATAAATTATATGTGTATGTGTAGATATGATACTGTATATCATATCTAGCTAGATATCATTGCTATTTTGGGGATAGCGAGTTTGTGGGGACTGCTTTTTGCTTTGCTTTGTTTATTTGGATTTGATTTATGTTGTTTTTGTTTCTTGCTCTTCCAATTTGCTGCATTTTCTTTTAACAAGTCAGGCTTTAGTTGTAAGTTGCTTGTAATTGTTATTTGTTACTATGCTCGTTTATTTAATAAAATTAAATTCTAACACCAACACACACAAAAAATCAGATCCAATTAACTGAGCTTGCAAAATTTATAAAAATAAGAAATTTTGAAACCCAAATAATAATTGCCTAGTTACCTTTTATTAGATTTTATGTAATTTTATATAATTTTATTTATAAAATTTATTATTTTTTTCAAGATAAAAATAAAAATGCAAAAAGACAGGAAGGAAGGAGGGAGGGAGGAAAGGAAGGAAGGAAGGAAGGAAGGAAGGAAGGAAGGGTCATGCCAGCAGCCGCGCTCGCGTCGGACAGCGAGGAGGCTGAAGAGGATGTGGTGCCAGAGGCAAAGACTCAGCCAGGGCCTTCAGAACCTCCAGAGGCTCCTTCAAGTGGAGAGAGCGAAGTGGAGGAGCCTCTCCTCAATGCTCGAGCATGCAGGGCTGCCAAAAGGCAGGAGTGGCTACTCAGGAGGAGGAGGAGGTCTCCTCGAGAGTAAGGCTTGAGGATAATTGGCCACTCCCTTAGCCTATTTAAGTCGCACGCAGCTAGTGCGTTCTTGCTGGAAACAACTCGTATTATTATCATCAGAGTATTTTGGTTTATCATATCTTGTTTTCTGGGCTGGTTGCCAACCTTTGCCGGTCTTGTTTATTCTTGCTACTTAATAAATTTGATAAGGACTGTTCTGTTCATGGAACAAAGGCTAAAGAAGGGAGGCGAGGCAGGATAAACATTTCACAACATATTTATTGACTAACAATAACAGCTAACAGTGACTTGCTCTGATTAGCTAACTACCTTGGAGAGCGAGCAAGGTTTTGAGGCACAGACAGCTCTTTTATACTTCAGCTGTCAGAGGCTGGGCCAATCAGGAGCTGCCAATTTCCCGCCGGCTGCCTGCTGGCGTTTAGACCAATCGGCTGCTCTCTTGGCCGCTCGTGCTTGCCGTCCGGACGTAACAAGGACTATTGGTGTGTGTCAATATCCTCAGAAATCTGGAGCTGGAGCAGAACAGGAAGGGACTTTGAAGGTCTTCTAGTCCAACCTCCTGCTCACATTCCAGACAAATGGTCTCTTCTTAAAAGCCTCCAGTGATGAAGCACCCACAACTTCTGAAGATTCAGAGTTATCTGCAGTACAGTAGTGGCCAAAATTGTGGAAACCTTTTGGGGAAAGTGTATTTTCTAAAACTAGCTAATAACACATTTTTTTTGGAGGAGTACCATAAAATTATATATCAATGGAAAGATAATTTAATCAAGAATGTAATGCAATGTCTTTTATGAAGGATTTGCTATTAGAATAGCAGTTACAGTATAAAGAAGAAAAGTGAAACATGTAGAAAAAACGAGATATACAAAAATTATCACCATAGAAAAAACGAGATATACAAAAATTATCACCATATCAGTTAATACTTCGTTGGGTAGCATGAATTACGGCCTTACAACATCTTCCCATGGAGTGAACCAAGTCTTTTAGTTCTGCAGCTGTTATAATGTGAAACCAAGATTGAAGGATTGCTTCTATTAACTGGGTTTTATTGCTGGGTCGCTTCTGACTAACAAGTTTCTTTAGTCGGCTCCATCGATTTTCAATTGGGTTAAGGTCTGGGCTATTCCCAGGCCATTCCAGCAGTGGAATAGGATTATCTTGAAACTCCAAAGAAAGTGGTGTTATTAGCCATCAAACCTCAAAAATACACTTTTCCCAAAAGGTTTCCATAATTTTTGCCACTACTGTATCTACCAGAGATGTTTCAATTTCTTTAATAGTCTTCCCAAAATATGCTCTGCCAACTAAGCCTAATGTGTGAGATATCACCAGAGCAGCCAGAACAAATAAACTAGATAGTTTTGTTTTTTAAAATCAATATTAACATTACTGCTGTTTCCACAATCAAATTAGCTGAGAGACTAGAAGAGGGTAAAAATGCCAGGCAAGAAAGGTGTTTAGAAATTGTGGAGGGAGTTAGAATCTTAAATTCTCCTTTTCACAGTACCTTGTTCTCATCTCCTTTTCTCTCTTTCTGGAAGACGTTGCAAGGAATCTTCTCTGGGGAGAAATTATAAGAGAGGTTCCTTTCAAGCCATGGATTACAAGTCCAGTTAGATATTTGTGCACTTAAAAAGGCAAAGAAGAATACGGAAGGAATACTTGTGCCAGAGCAGAGTGTCGTGCAGTTTCATGACTGCCAGTAAGTTTAGTTGATTACAGAACTATTTTCCCAGTACAGTGTAAATAAAACCTTCACAGATAAAAGAGTGTAGCAAGAATAAGACAGAAATAGCCATCATCGATTGTTGTGAAGGAAAAGTTTTAACCACAAATGTGACTACTAATAACATTCCTGTAGGCCAGGGGTGTCAAACTCAATTTCATTGAGGGCCATATAAGGGTTGTGTTTGACCTCGGGGGGCTGAGGTGGGTATGTCCAGGGTAGGCGTGGCCAGCTCGACATCACTCATGGTGGCACAAATGCTCTGCCAGCAAAAAGGGGCTCCTGAGCTCTGTTTTGGCTGCGACGGTCTCCTGCAACTCTCTGCCAGTGAAAACAGAGCTCTCACTGGCAGAGGCACCACGGGCCAATCCTTTGCTGTTTCCAAGGTGGCCCAGTGAGTTAGATCTAAGAACCTCGGGGGCCGGATCCTGACCCCGGTCCTTGAGTTTGACACCCCTGTTGTAGACACATCTGTCTATACTTTGGAACAGGGGTGAAATCCAGCAGGTTCTGACAGGTTCTGGAGAACCGGTAGCGGAAATTTTGAGTAGGTCGGAGAACCAGTAGTGGAAATTTTGAGTAGTTCAGAGAACCGGCAAATACCACCTCTGGCTGGCCCTAGAGTGGGGTGGGAATGGAGATTTTGCAGTATCCTTTCCCCAGGAGTCAAGAGGGAATGGAGATTTTGCAGTATCCTTCCCCTGCCACATCCACCAAGCCACATCATGCCCACCAAGCCACACCCACAGAACTGGTAGTAAAAAAAATGGATTTCACCACTGCTTTGGAGTAGACATTCATTGTAAATGTCCTTTCTCTTAGCAAATGTGATGCATCAGATAAATCTAGGCCTTGCCAGATTTATTGATATATTTATAGGCATATCCTTGCACAGACTCTTTCTTCAAGTTGTTCAGGATAACCATTGTCCTCAAAAGTATTCTTTATATTTATTTATTTATTTGATTTATTTGTGAAATGTGTATAAGGTAACAGATATAAGTATAAACATGATCATGAATACAGGAAATGGATACCAAGAAATGGGGACAGTAGGATAGGGATGGTAGGCACGTTGATGTGCTTACGCACACCCCTTATAGACCTCTTAGGAATGGGGTGAGGTCAACAGTAGACAGTCTAAGATTAAAGTTTTTGGGGTTTGGGGAAGAAACCACAGAGTCAGGTAGTGCATTCCAGGCATTGACCACTCTGTTGCTGAAGTCGTATTTTCTGCAATCAAGTTTGGAGCAGTTTACCTTAAGTTTGTATCTATTATTTGCTAGTGTATTGTTGTGGTTGAAGCTGAAGTAGTCATTGACAGGTAGGCCATTGTAGCAGATCATTTTGTGTACTATGCTTATGTCAGACCGAAGGCGGTGTAGTTCTAAGTTGTCTAAGCCCAAAATTTCAAGCCTGGTGGCATAAGGGATTCTGTTGTGAGCAGAGGAGTGGAGGACTCTTCTCGTGAAATATCTCTGGACTCGCTCAATTGTATTAATGTCCGATATGCAGTGCGGGTTCCAGACAGATAGCTGTATTTGAGAATTGGTCTTTTGTTCCGCTCTCTGGGTTGGCACAGCATGAGAGACTCTTTAGCAGCCCCATATTATTACTGAGTTTTATGGCAGAACCAGCTTTCACCAGTCACATAGACCATTTTGGCTGTTCCAATCCATGGTTTCGCAAAAGTGTACGCTCCTTCCAAGCTTCTCGTTTGGAGAAAGTTGGGAGAACAATCTTGCCCCACCATCTAAAGTGCTACTACTTCTCCTTTCATCTCGCGGAGGCTAGCATGTGGAAGACGTTAACTGCAAAAAAAAAAAGGCATAAAAGTGTTATGTCACTCAAAAAGGATCAGAGGTGGAGATTGTATTTTGGAGATTCTATAGAATTTCCCAACTGAGTCCTTTCCCAAATGCTGATAGAGCTAATAGCTAATACTTGGAGCAGGAGCAAACAGATTTTCGCCTGTTTTACTAGGTGTTTTTCATCTAGATTTGTTTGGAGCCAGCTTTAGAGAGCCTAGAATGTACATTTGCTATGTCTGTTTAAATCTGGTTGATCTCACCCAGCTGGTCCGAAGTGTTTGGCTATGGAAAATGTAATGGAAAAAAATAAATTTTAAGCAACTAGAACATTTTCTCCTTTGTCATAATAAAACAGTACAATCCCAACATTAAAAACCCAACTCAACAACAGTATTACAACTGAGAATGGCATTAGCAAATTCGGTTATGACTATGGAATCCATCATAGATATGTACTTAAAATAAAAATTTTAACTTCTTGCAGATGACAACGGCTGTTCCAGAGCCATTAACGTTCATCGTATTAATCTTGTGTTATGATCCTAACGATGCTGAGAGCTATCAAAGAAACACAAAATGAAATCCAAGCATGTGTTAGAGAAATCACATTCCAACACCACATAAATCAATCTCTCTCTTTTCTTTCTTTTTCCTCCCTTTTTCTTTCATAATTCTCTAAGGCACTGCTCCGCATAAAACGCCAACTACCTTGCAATATTTTTTTTCCACTTCTGTTTTTCAATATTTATGGGCTAGGCAATAAACCAAAGGAAAATCCCTAAGAAATAAGTGATTTTAAACAGATTTGTTGAATTACAACCTCCGACTGCTTCAGAATTTTCAGTGGGGTTTTAAATGCTCAAGCAGACATGGAAACATCCTTTTTTTGGGGGGGGAGGTGGATTTATATATATATATATATAGTCACAGTTATTACAGATGTCCTTGAGAATGAGAGAAAGTCGAAAAAGTCAAAAGGATAACCGTGATCAAGCAATTGAAGCGCCATCTTCTTTTAATGTGTGTCTTGCAAATAAAAAGTGTTGGGATGGTGAATGGCACAGTCGTAGCTGCCATCTTTTCTTACCTCAATTCCTCAGCCATTGATAATCCTGTTTGTTATTACCTCTCAATTATGGATCAGTAGAGGTGAAGATAATGGAGAGGAAAAAGAGGACTTAGTGTGCAGAGATGGACAGGTTAACCCTAAAAAATAAAGGAAAAGAAGATTCGGATTATTTTACAACATGGGAATTATTTTACAAATGGTTAAATGACAGACATTGAGGTTAGAGGAGTGGAATTGGATGAAATATGGTCTATATGAGAAAGAAAAATAGATGAACTATTATTTTGATGGTTATATAATCGACACTGATGGAAGGTTGTATATGTTGTAAAGATGATCAATAGTATTGTATATTTGTTTATATATTACCATATATTTTTTCATATATATATATATGATTATAGTGACGCTGATGATGTTTGTATGTTAACACCATGGACACCTAGAAAACACACTACTCAACATAGAAATGTAATGTATGATATAAAACAATAAAAAAATACTTCAAAAAAAAAGAGGACTTAGTTCTATAGAGAGAGATAAAGATATGGGAAAAAGACCTTGACAGACGTAGGTATCAAGGGAACAGATAAGAGAGGCCGTAGGCCCGTGATGGCAAACCTATTGCACGCATGCCACCTGTGGCACACGAAGCCATATTGGTGGGCATGCAAGCTCAGCTCCGGTGCGCATGCGTGTGCTGGCCAGCTGATTTTCAGGCCTTCTCGGCCCACCGGAAGTCAGGAAACAGGCTGTTTCCGGCCTCTGGAGGGCCTCCGGGGGGGGAGGCCCATTTTTTTGCTCTCCCCAGGCTCCAGAGCCTTTCTAGGAGCTTGAGGAGGGCAAAAATGGCCTTTCCCACCTCTAGAGGCCCTCTGGAGGCCAGAAATGGCCAGTTTGTTGACTTCCGGTGGGACTGGAAGGCCCGTTTTTCACCCCCCCCAGGCTCCTAGAAAGGCTCTGGAGCCTGGGGAGGGTAAAAAAATGGGCCTACCGGGCCCACCATGCCATCACGTGCCAAAAGCAGGGGGAGTGCGGGGGGGTTGTGCGTGCATGCGTGGGGGGCAGGGTGCATAGAATTATGGGTGTGGGCACACGCACATGCGACTCCCCGCGCTCCCTCACTTTTGGCACACGATGGCAAAAAGGTTAGCCATTAGTGGCATAGGCCACAGCTGCACGATGGACAAAGAGACTCAATAGTCCTAACTTCTCAGGTTGGAAAGGAGATGGTGGGAGATTTGTACTTGTAGACTTTCAAGTTTCTGTTAAAGTCACTTTACAACCAGTAGAATGAATAGAAGATGACCAGATGAGCTAGATGAGTTAAATCTAGCTTAACAAAATCTTGCAACTCTGAAAGTACAATCTTCCCTATGAACTGCTAGATCCATTAGGGGAAGTTCTTCTTTCGTTTCCTTCTTTGACCATTAAACAACTGTAGGCACCTGCACCTCTTGTCTGATGGTTCCCTAGGTAACATCTCCTTTCCCTTTTCCTGAAGGTTATCCATGCATTCCATTACACAACTGACACTATTCCTTGCAGGTTTCACACTCCAAGATAAGATGTTCCTGTTTTGCTAACAAAATCACACTCTTGAAAAAAAGCTTGTATTGAGTTGCATCCTGGGCCAAAGTGGGTGGAATCTCTCTCTCTTGAGTCTTGGTGATTGCATGACGAAGTCCTTATTGTTTGCTTGGCAACAGTATGGTGATAATTCACTGTGGCTTTCAACCAGGGTTATTATTATTTTTTAACTTCCCAGGCTAATCCCCAATCCTGAATTTTTCTGGTATCTTCTAACCCAAGAGCTTCACTGGATAGTTTCATCAAGATTAGGCAATATCAGATGATAGTACCACTTGCTGAAATTTAATTAACTCGGGTTGGTCAAGGTGATAAAAACCAGCCCTTTCTTGTTGCTACATGTTTAAGGATTTAAATGTATAACACACTCTGTGTCCTTCTACAATAGTGTTATTCAACCTTGGGAACCTTTAAGATAGGTGGAGTTCAACTCCCAGAATCACCCAACTGAAATCCTTTAAGAAGTTCAACTATCTTAAAGTTACCAAAGTTGAGAAAAAGTGGTCTACACCTTGGGGGAATATTATATGATTTTGAAGGAGGAGGAGGAGGAGGAGGAAGGTCATCTTAATAGCATTATGAGCCCCGAGCAAAGCAGTGTACTGGGCCCCTATGACAACTACTCACAGAAATAAAAATGTACCATATTTTTTGGAGGATAAGATGCACCTTTCCCCCCCAAAAAGAGGGTGAAAATCTGGGTGCATCTTATACTCTGAATGTAGCCCCACCCAGCCTCTCAAACAGAGGTTTCAGAGGCTGAAAAAAGCCTCAGAAATGAAGCTTCAGAAAAAAAGCCTCCAAACAGAACTTCAGAAAAAAAAAGCCTCAGAAACAAAGCTTCAGAAAAAAAGCCTCCGAAACAGCTCTGTTTTGGAGGCTTTCAGAGGCAGAAAAAAAAGTTTTTTTCTGAAATGGAGTTTCAGGAGTTTCAGAGGCAGAAAAAAAAGCAAAAAATAAGCAAGACACAGAGCTCACAACCAAGGAATCTGTTGCTAAAATTCACCTCTGGGAACAGCTGATTGGGGGTATTCCAGGAGGCTGATCCACCCGCCAATCAACTTTTTTCTTATTTTCCTCCCCAAAAACTAAGGTATGTCTTGTACTCTGGTGCATCTTATACTCCAAAAAATATGGTAGTTAGTAATTGGATTGTAGGCTGCCATTACATGCAGAGTAGGTAGGTAGGTAGGTAGGTAGGTAGGTAGGTAGGTAGGTAGGTAGGTAGGAAGGAAGAAGGAAGGAAGGAAGGAAGGAAGGAAGGAAGGAAGGAAGGAAGGAAGACAAATGGATCTGAATGAAAAAGTCAGTGGTGGAATACTTATGTCCTGCTGGGAAGAAAATCATATGGGCGAGTCCATTTTTCAGCAGGAGTCCAACTCAATTCAAGGAGTCATAATCTTCGCTTTTGCCCACCAATACAAAAAACAAGCCGAAAACAATGATAAATAAAATTGATTTATCATTATACTCTGGTGCGTCTTATACTCCGAAAAATATGGTAAATGGTTGATTAAAATTAAAACATATATTTATCAGTGTTAACAGTGTTAATTTCTATTAATGCGTGTTAGTATTTTAAAAATGCAGTAAAACGTAATAAATATGTTGCTGTATTTATATGATACAAGGTGCATTGAAGAGTTAACATACACAGATTAGTATGGGGGCCCTTATGCTCCTGGGGCCCCCGGGCAAATGCCCATCAGGTCCATGCATTAAGACAGCCTGGGAGGAGGAGGAGGAGGAGGAGTTTTATTTCCTTAATTACATACCCTTGCCCTCCCCACTCAGTTTCCCTGATTAAGAATTTCCAGTGTTGAAATGAACATAGCCACGTCTGTCAAAAATTAATTTGAAGTTGTTAGGATTATTAATGGCATGACTTAGCATCTTCTGCTTCTAGAAAGTCAGCTGACGGATCAATTCACTTCAGACAATTTGCTCTATGAAAGAAACACATCTCAAGATTTTTTTTTTCATTTCTTCTTTCACAAAAGCATTTGTCAAATATTTTTACTTAGTAAAAAAAAAAAAAAAAAGGAAATAAAATTCTTCATGATGTGGAAGCCAGAGAGAGAGGCTCTTCTTGATAATTTCTCAACCCCTGAACAAAATATTTTAAATTCCAGAGATGTTTCTGACTTTTTAGACGCTTCTTAGCAGATAACAATGACAGCTCTATCAGCATTACACTTTTTGGGGAGAAATACCTTTATTTCCAGGTGCAAAATGTCAGAGCACCAGTTGTATGATTTTCTGTGTTTTAATTGAAATTGCAGATGTCCTTCTTTCCCAATTTAAACTTATCTCTGGTATTACAAAAGGCAGCAGATTAGGGTCAGAATCTCTTTCCCTAAAACAATACTGGAAAATCTGATTTATTGCTCCAGTTGTCATTGCAATGTTTTGCTTTAGGAAAAGAAAGAATAAATTAGCTCAGCATTTTTTGTTTGGTTTGCATTTTTAATTTTTTATTTTAAGAAATTCCCTGTTTTAAGAAAAATAATTAAAATGCCAATAATGTAATGATTTTGTGTCTTTGTACCTATGTGTCTTTGTGTGAGAGAGAGGAGGGAGGGAGGGAGAGAGAGAGAGAGAAGCAAGTATCAATCAAAGAGAATACTTGTAACTCAGAATTGAACAGTGGGGTCCTTGGTGCTCTCTGATTTGGTGGGTTTCTTGCAGGTGTTTCATTAACAAACTAGGTAACGGACTAAGTGCTGTTAAATGCTAGCACTTAGCTGCCAGCTGCCTGCAATTAGTGCGAGTTCAAATCTCACCAGGCTCAAGGTTGACTCAGCCTTCCATCCTTTCGAGGTAGGTAAATTGAGGACCCGGATTGTGGGGGGCAATAAGCCAACTTTGTATAGAATAACGCAACTTAGCGGGGGGCAAAAGCCCTAATAAGCAGGTATATACAGCCGCCCTGAGTCTACGGAGAAGGGCGGCATATAAATTGGACTAATAAATAAATAAATAAATAAATAAATAAACATCATCAGAGAGGCATGATTTGTTGAATACATAAGAGTTGTGTCTACTTCTCAAAGCAAATAAACACTAACTACCAGGTATTCCTCAACCTTGGTAAGACCACGCTTGGAATTCTAATTTTAGTCCCCACGATGTAAAAAAAGACGTTGAGACTCTAGAAAGAGTGCAGAGAAGAGCAACAAAGATGATGAGGGGACTGGAGGCTAAATCGTATAAAGAATGAATGCTGGAATTGGGTATGTCTAGTCTAGTGAAAAGAAGGGCTAAGCATGACATGATAGCAGTATTGCAGTATTTGAGGGGCTACCACAAAGAAGTGGGAGTCAAGCTATTCTCCAAAGCACCAGAAGGCAAGACAAGAAACAATGGGTGGAAACTAATCAAGGAGAGAAGCAACCTAGAACTAAGAAGAAACTTCCTAACTGGGAGAACAATCAACCAGTGGAATGGCTTACCTTTAGAAGTTGTGAATGCTTCAACACTGGAGGTTTTTAAGAAGAGACTGGGCAGCCACCAGTCTGTCTAGACCTACTAGAGCTTCTTTTTCTCC